ATTGGTATTAATAAATGAGTTTTGGCAATATTTTTTAGAAAAATGTTGCGGTAGACACCTTTAGCAATGTTTATTGAGCGTTACGAAAGGTTTTACCTTTAGCAACGTTTATCAAACGTTGCGAAAGGTAAGATTTTTCGTAACGTTCATCAACCGTTGCTAAAAGTCATCTTTCGCAACTTTTATCAAACGTTGCGAAAAGCCTCATCTTCATCAACGTTTATCAAATGTTGCGAAAGGCAAGAGACCTTTCGCAACGTTTGACCTTTCCCAACATTTGATAAACGCTGCTGAAGATGACTTTTAGCAACGTTTGATGAACGTTGCGAAAACTCTTACCTTTAGCAACGCTTATCAAACGTTGCAAGTAATATTTTGACCCATTTAAATGAATCGATCACATTCTAATCCAATAGCCCACAAAATAAAATTTGAAAAAAAAATAAAGAAAAATAAAAGGAACGAAATCAAGCCCTAATCGCAACGTTCCAAATCGCTCTCCCTCCCTCTCAAATCGTTCTGCCTCCCCTCAAATCCAGTTGGTGAGAGTGGAGGTGAGAAATGAGTACGGACTTGGACCACCGGAGCTAAATAGAGAAGCGAACAAGGAGGATCCAAAAGAGGTTCTCGAAGGCGTTGCTGTTGCTGGCCTAGTCGGAGTCTTACGTCAGCTCGGACAGAAGGAGGAGAGCCATGAAGGGAAAATACACTGAGGTGAGGAGACTATATGAAGGAGGTGAGGAGACTAAGAATGTATAAATCTTCACTCTTTTCCTCTCTCTAACCCCAACCCTATCTCTCATCTCTCTCTCTCGGTGTCTCCACTTGCTATCTGAAGCCGTGGACGTTGGGGCAAATGTGGTTGAGTTTTCTAGGATAATTTGTTCAAATACGCCGTGAATTGGGTTACTTGTGGCATTAATAAAATTTAAGATCTTTTGGAGTTTCTTGTTGAGGGTTTTTGGAAATTGAATTTTGTGAACAATGCAGCCGGATCATCGAAAGAAAGTGAGTTTTTTTTTCTCTGTTTTGTGACTTTTATGAAATTTTTTATTCAGTTTTCAGTAGAATAGAAAAAAATTGGGTTGTTATTGATTCAATTTGTGTTTCTTCGTAACTATTTGATTAAAATTCAAAGGACATGGCTTACTTTCATTCATTTATCTTAAGTCCATTAAGGGTTTATATTTCAAAGGAGGAAAGGATTTCCTCTAATTTCTTGCATATTTAGAGACTGAGCCGTCCTTGGTCTGGTTTGTAAATTCACTTATGTAAAGTTTGAATTGTTTGGCTGACAATAGTTAATTGATCGAATGAATAAATTAATAAGCATTGAATTAGTTTTAAAAAAATGATTTGAATATTGATGGTGGAATTATGTTTGAAGTTTTTTTTTGTTTTCAGATCTGGGTCAGTTACATTTCACTGAATGCCGTGATTTCCTCTTTCCTGATTAGTTTTTTGTCAATTAGTTTTTTTTTTTTTTTTGATTTAGTGGGGGATTTTATCTTCTTTTCTGTTTTGCTTCCTTTTTTTTTATACCCATTTCCTTAGATTATTTCGTCCTTCTAGATTGAAATTCAACTGGTATGTCCATGAAAAGAAACAATTCTTTTATACAGTCTATTTTTTGTGCAGAAAAATGTCCCAGTCCCAACTGGTTCGGTTTATGTAATATATCACCTTGTTGTATGAAAATGAGAAACAGAAACTCACTCTGTAGATTTGGGCCCTTTTGTCTCTCTGTGTTTGCTATGGGGATCTATGTGGGATGTGGGTGTTAGTGGTAGGGATGTGCAGTAGTGAATGGCTGTGGTAGTTTTGAGTTGT